TTGAGTATATTTGGTTGAAAATAGAGAAAATTAAATTTAATAGAGTCAAATATAATTAATTTTACACCTAAATGTAATGGTATAGATCAAATTTGAAAATGATAACAGTAAAGGTTACCGCTAGAGAGTCTTTTCAAAATGCTAACACTAACATTTAATTTTATTGACTAATATTGAGTGAATTGGTTTGAAACTAATCAAATTAACTCTCAAATCAATAAAATTTATTGTAATGAGATGAAATTAGGATAAAATCTAATTATTCCATACAATTCATCATATATATATTTCTTTCGTCCCAAAAAGAATATTACACTTCACTATTTAAAAATTACGGAAATTTTATTTGTTTGTGCGTTATCATTTATATGTATAACTTATCTTTAATTTCTACATATAATAAATTTAAGGCATAAAAATTTGTACTTTTTTCAAGAAGATAATTCATTTTATGAGGGAATGAGCAAGTAATGTAACTAGTTCAAATGGTAAAATAAAAGTAAAAATTTAAAAATATAATATGCTTATTGAAAGGTAAACATAGTTCTGAATTTATCGATTTTAGTTCTAATCGAGGTCGGATATTATCGGTTTCAGATCTAATCGGTTTTGGATTTTATCGGTTTCGGGTATTATCGGGTCCGGATCTAATCGGTTTTGGGTTTAATCGGTTCGGATATTATCGGTTTCGGATCTAATCGGTTTCGGATTTAAATCGGATATGAATTATTTATTTCGGTTTCGGTTTGGTTCGGATCATTTCGGGTTTTCGGTTATAGATCGGATCTTCATATTTCGGATCATTCCGGTTTCGGTTTCATATATTTCGGTTCGAGTAATCGGTTCCGGTTCTGTTTTGCCAGGTCTACTAGTGATGCTCCCCTTCAAACAGTCTTAGTATGTCTCAGTAATTTTCGGCCACTAGAGCCCTTATAAGACTCCCATTTTTCTCTATACCAATGTATATCGTTATCATTGCGATTCCTCATCCTCGTAAGCATAGTGCCATTGAAGGGTATCTTGGAGGTAGGGGATCCATGAGATCTAATCTTGAGGGCCCTTCTCTAGAGGGTGGACATGTTACAAAGAAAATGTGAAGAGCTTACAACCTTGGATCTATCTGTGCACCTCAAGAGCTCGCTTACTAAGTACTTCCTACGAGAGTCGAGTCCTCCAAACTTCCACATTCCCTAAGGACCCTTTCGACAAGCTCCAGACTAGTATGACTGTCACCAATTGCTCAGAAGAGCTCTTGTGCTGAGCCTTTTCGGCTACTCTAGAAGGACGTGCTCATAATGGTTCTTCAATAAGACGAAGCTTCTGACATTCTCTAAGGGCTTTGTCTGGGTTTTTTCTAGAGATCGAGAACATGGAAAGTGATAGATCAAAGAAGCAGAGAATGGATTACAAAGAAAAGAAAAATAAACTTCAAGCCCTTATTCCAATAGCCAACACTCTCCTTGAAAATGAACTTTGAAAATTTACTCTCCACTTTGTTCGTCATGCAATGCAGATCTACCCCTCTACTTCTAGCAACTATCTCTTTATCGATGATCAGCTTGCAGAGGATATCAGGAATATTTAGGGTAATAGAAAATAGAATACTATCATTATGATACGGATAGTTACTTATAATATTTTAATTAGTTATATTATTACTTAGTAGTTATTATTATTATTATTATTATTATTATTATTATTATTATTATTATTATTATTATTATTATTATTATTGATGATTTAGGGTTTTAGTATGGGCCCGAGCCCATTAGGTCAATTAGGGTTTTATGCATCTTTATATATTGTAACCTTTCGTTATTATTATTCAATCAATCAATAATCAAGAATTCTCTTAATCTCTTGTCTCTCTTTTCTTGGAGCCCGGAAACGCTCGAAGTTTTCTCTCTCTTTGCCTCCCCTTCTTGGAGCCCGAAGACGCTCGAAGTTCTTCTCTATCCCGATACGATATTCGTATCAATTGGTGCTCTCATTGTTGTACTCACCAAAAAAACCAAAAAAACAAAAAAAAAATCCCCACCCCCGCCGCAAACAGAAAACTTGCAGAGGTGTGCCGCTGCAACCCTCCACCGCCGCAGCCGCCACCAAAACCTCCTTCCGCCCTGCTGCAAACTCTACATTCAAAACAATATACAGAGTATATTTTTTCAGGTTAGATCGCAGCACAGCCATCCAAAGATTGGTGCGGCAGATCCAACTCCTTGCTGCAGGTTTCGGCTACAAAATTTGCAGATTGCCAAATTTCTTTCCGTCATCCCCAACAAGTCATCAAATTAGAGTTGCCCCCTTTCTTCCCTTGCTCAAAAAAAAAAGTGTCTGACCGCCGCAAACTAGGGTTGTGCCTGTCCGAATTGGGTGTCCGACTTGAAGATTGGTTTTGGCAAATTAAAAAAAAGACCAACGAAAGGATCTTGTCAATTTGGACAACAGCCATCTGCAAATTGAGCTTTTTGAAGGCAAGGGTCTGGACTAAAAAAAACTTTTGGAGCCATCCAGATATATATTGCAGAGAGCCATCCAGATCGTGCGACAATTCAAAGGATGGATGCTTTTGCTCAGTCATTGAATCAAATGCAACAAGATTTTTCATTCCGAATGGAGGCGCGATTCGCACGGTTAGAGACTTTAATTGTGAGTACTTGTGCATTGGATAAACTTATTGATTTGTTGGAAAATGTTTTATATGGAGAAATTGATCTAGAGTACGGAGTGTGTGGAGTTTATGATCATGTGGATGAACTTATAAAGACGCTCCGGTTGTTTCGTCATACTACTGGTCAGCCAAATTATGACTCTAACTTGTACGCATTTGATGTCGAAATCTCTTGCTCCATACAAGATTTGGTTCGTGGTCCCCCAATTTTGCCGAGTTTGATTCCATGGGAGTTACAAAACTTTAGAACAAACATGTTGGGCGCTATAAAAATTCTCATTGACACTCCGCCATATGCGCCAAATGTGGTCTCTACAGTAATTGAACAAAACGCTGAAGCAATAAACAAAGATGACGGGAGGTTCAACGTTGCGGACAAAAATGAAGGTCCTCTTGCAGAAGATGTTGCTAATGTCGACAAGCCAGATCCTACTTTTCAGGAATTTTCTACCTCAGCTGGTGTGGTCATTGCAGAATATGAAATTCCAAAAAGTGTTGACAAAGTGACAGATGCAGATGGTAAACAAGCACACTCACCTATGTTGATTGACACCATCAAGTTGTTTGAGCTTGTCGACGTGGTCATGACGGAGCACCTGGTTTCATCGAGAGCAACTACATATGTTCTGCGCCCCGTCTCATCTTTCCATCACTTTGCTTCAAGATCAAAGATGGTTGAAGATTCAAAGAATGGATTGCTCCTTTGGTTCAGCATTCTTTCTCCGGTCCTAAAGCACGAGTGGGAGCCTCCACCTTGAGAACAAGGTGGACTTTAAGGGGGTGGGAATGATACGGATAGTTAATTAGAATATTTTAATTAGTTATATTATTATTTAGTAGTTAATTATTATTATTTATCAGTATTTTATAGATTAGGGTTTTTGTATGGGCCCAAGCCCATTAGGTCATGTAGATGTGGCGTCTCATCTCTATATATTGTAATCCCGTTTTATTATCATTCAATCCATCAATAATCAAGAATTCTCTTAATCTCTCGTCTCTCTTTTCTTGGAGCCCGGAAACGCTCGAAGTTTTCCATCTTTCTCTACCTCTTTTTCTTGGAGCTTGAAGAACGCTCGAAGTTCTTCCCTATCCGATACGATATTCGTATCAATGATACGGATAGTTACTTATAATATTTTAATTAGTTATATTATTACTTAGTAGTTATTATTATTATTATTATTATTATTATTATTATTATTATTATTATTATTATTGATGATTTAGGGTTTTAGTTTGGGCCCGAGCCCATTAGGTCAATTAGGGTTTTATGCATCTTTATATATTGTAACCTTTCGTTATTATTATTCAATCAATCAATAATCAAGAATTCTCTTAATCTCTTGTCTCTCTTTTCTTGAAGCCCGGAAACGCTCGAAGTTTTCTCTCTCTTTGCCTCTCCTTCTTGGAGTCCGAAGACGCTCGAAATTCTTCTCTATCCCGATACGATATTCGTATCACATTATTATTTACTTTTCTTATTCTATTTTTACCTTAATTATTCATTCTGCTATGGTTAGGATTTTCTCTTGTATTCCCTATGTATAATAATGGAACTTTCATTATTTAATAAGACCAATATTATCAAATTATATCAATCCTTCCTCAAAAGGGAGGGACAGGTACGTAACTTAAAGATAGTGTTGGTTAAACATCCTAACTAGAATCACTCATATTTTAGTAGAAATTATATTGTTTGATGAAAGAATAATCACGCAAATGCTACAGTCACAAACAAACAGTTCACAAACTTTATAAATTTGTCTTTTGTCGGTTTTAAATTAAAATATCTTTTATTATTTGAATTTATCTTATTTCTAAAAAAAGATTAAAAGGCATATTTGTAAATTTTGTAAAGCATATACATAGTATTGAACATATACAAATTTATATTGTCTTATATCAGTGTTTTTGTGTTTCCAGCATGACTTCACACGCGGATCAAAATGACCGGTGGGCATCTTATGCATATCCTGGGGGATGGAATGGTACTTTAATTTTAACTTATTTTCAAATTTATTGTTTTGATAATTACAACTGAAAATACAAAACTCAAACATATTTTGACTCAAATAATTTTTTGGTCAAATGTGAGGGAACATTGACTAGAGGGGTATGCTTGCTAGTCAGGAATTTCTTACACACATGAAAATTAAGTCTTATTTTTGCTAATTATTTTCTATTTTCAACATCTAAATTTTAGAGTCTAGATTCTAATTCCCAGAAGTCCAGAATTTATACTTTAATTAAAATTAAAGCGTGAATAGATGGCACTAATCATGTAATTGATTTTTTATTTTTTTTATATCACTGACTCTATTACAATATAATATCTGTTTACAATAATCGTGCACACTTTTTTTTTAATATTCGTGAGGTCAGATCCAGATATTTTGGAAGTTGGAAACGGCGGCATGACTGAGGCGGAATATCGATCTCATTTTAGCATTTGGGCATTAGCCAAAGTAAGTATCATATCATAATGTTCCCATGACATTGGAAATCAATTTCATGGGATGACCTAGGGGTGCCCCGGTACTAGTCGTGAATTGACGGTTCCTACCTCTCCATATCCCCCGGTAAACCCCACCACCTTGACCCCGAGCACACCCACCCCGACCCGACCCAAACACCCCCCCCCCCCCCCCGCCCCTTCAATTGCACTCCCAAGTTAATTTTGACTTTGAAGTCAAATTTTGACTCCAAACTTAAAATTAACTTGGAGGTGTAATTGAAGGGGGTGGGGGTGTGTTCGAGTCGGGGCGGGGTGAGGGGTTTTTTGAGAGGTTCGGGGGGTGGGAGCCGCCAATTTTACGAACAGGGCATCAGAATACTCACAAGTCATCTAATGTCTTTGATTCCCAATGTCACGGGAACCGGCTTCCATAATATTATAAAGTGTCTTTAAACGTTGTTTATGGCTATGGGAGGATGGGTATAAGAGTAAGAATAAAAGAGCTCAAACACCCATATATGGATTATCAAAAAAAACATAAAAGAACCAAAAGAAACATATCTTTAACGGTGGGGTTCTAGTGACACCGGAGTACGGTGACACTCCGGTGCCACTATCATTTTGGGGCACTTGCGGTGTTCCGTTCGTAAAATTGACGATTCCTACCCCCCCCCCAAACCCACTTCCTAAACCCCCCGCCCCTGCACCCCTCAACCCCGCCGTAAGCCCCCCACAAAATGTGTGGCTATTATGCACTGCATAAATACACCAACCCACCGGATAAGATCGGTTGGCACTCACTTTGGCTGTCATCCAATGACACTCACTTTGATGTTCCGTTCTCAAAATTGATGATTCATACCTTTTTCTTATCCGGTAACTCTAAGAACACCCACCCCCGGCCTAGCCCAACTCTATCCCCCAATCCCTTCATTTTCATCATCTAAATTTAAATCACTTTGAGGTAAAAAAATTAGACGACCTCAATCTCAACTAAATTTGAGAAATGAAATTGAAAGGTTTAGGGGTAGGTGAGTGCAGGTCGGGCTTTGAATTGAAAATTTACTCTTATACCCATCCTCCAATGTCAATGGAACCGGTCCCCAACACATTGCTAGACATTGCAAAAAATCAAATGTATAACATAAAGGTTCTTTTGACCTTTGAACCTCGGGTCATATAATGATCCGAGGCCCATACGGTACTCTATTCGTAAAATTGATAGTTCATACCCCTCTAACCCTCTCCCCTAAACCTTACCCCTGTCCACCCCACCCAAGCACCCCCTACATCCCCCCCTCCCAAAAACTGCTACTGTAGCCAATCAGAGATTTGGGAGAGGGAGCACGCGGTGCTGGGGTGGGGTGGGCAGGTAGGGGGCATGGGGTAGGATTTAAGGAGGTTAGAGGAGATAGAAACCATCAATTTTACGAACGGAGAACTGTAAAGATCCGGGGTCATAATATGACCGGAGATTCAAGGGTGAAAAGAAACTTGCCGTATATATAAGGTAAAAACTAAAAAAAACTAATGAGTAAACCTTGCAAATCATTGAGTGCAAGTAGGTCAATTAACATGACAATGCAATTAAAAAAAACAGGCTCCCTTACTGATTGGGTGTGATATTCGATATATGGACAATTCCACCTTCAAAATACTTAGCAACAAAGAGGTTATCGATGTTAATCAAGGTATGTATTACTCATTTCCTCATAACTTGTTGGCATATTGAATTGAAAAAAAAAACTTGGAAGTACTAGTATATCTTTTTATTAAACAAAATTAATACAGTAATATTTTTGAAAAAATAGGGAATATGAAATTATATAAGTAGTTTTTCTATATAAATTAGTACGGCTCCATTCTTTGACAACAAATTTCGTTGACATATTATAATAACTGCTACGGTGCATTTTTCAAAAAAAATCCCTTATCACGTTCCCCCAACCGAGCATACTCACCCCCCCTCAAACGCCGATTCGATACAATAATTTTGTAGCCAATCCACGTTTTGGGGAGAGGGGCAGCGAGGCTGTTAGGGTGTGGGGAAGGGCAGTTTTGGGGGTAAGGAGAGATAGAAATTATTATCATATTATGACAACAAAATTTGTTGTCAAAAGAAGGGTTCCAAATTTTGTTGGCCTTCTTTTGACAACAAAAATTGTCATATTATGACAATAACTAATAAGGTACTCCATTAAAAAAAATTGATGGTTCATTTCCCCAATCCTCTTTTCTAAAAAGCTTATTGTCCACAGTATTATTGTAGCCCAACAGTATTTTAGGGAACGGATGGGAGGTTATGTGAGATAAGAACCACTAATTTTTCAAAAAGGGCACCGTAGCAGTTGTTATCATAATATGAGAACAATTTTTGTTTTCAAAAGAAGGCCAAAGAATTTAGCAATACCATTGTTGAATAATAAGAAATTAAAATGTACATTTTTTTTTGTTTGTGTGAGTAGATGCCCATATCTTAATTAAGCTTAAGATAGAAAGAAAGTTGCTTATTATTGTGATACCTAATTAACGTGCAGATGGACTTGGTCATCAAGGGAGAAAAGTGAAACAAGATGGAGATTTAGAGGTAAACGTACTTAGGTTCCGTTCCGTTCAACTTATTTTTTCTGATCTGATCTGATTTTAATAAGTTCTGATCTGATTAGATCTGATCTGATCTGATTGGATCTGATCTGATCTGATCTGATTGGATCTCATCTGATCTAATCTGATTGGATCTGATCTAATCTGGTCTGATCTGATCTGATTAATTATGATTTAATTTAAAATTTGAAATCAATAATTTGATTTGACTTTATAATAACGTTTGAAAATTGTAATGATAATTCATATTATAATATACGTAGTAATCAATATTTTTTATTTAATGATTATTTTTTAATAAAATAAAAATAGTTAATTCATATATTAGAATAATCATTCATATTATAATGTAATAATATTTTTTATTTTATGATTATTTTTTTGTGAAATTAGAATATTAATTTAATATTCTAATAATTACTTCATATATACATTAGAATAAATATTTAATTTAGATATACATTAAAAAGTAATTAAATTTAGATAATCAATATATAGAAGAGATAGTATTTTTATTAAAATATCTCATCCTTATAAAAGATCAAAATTTAAAAACTCAAATTACAAGTAGAATAAAAATATATTTTAAAAGTAGAATTAGATTGACATTGTCAATGTACTTTAAAACTAATTTTTCCGACGTCTAATAATTAAGGATTACTTTCTCAGTTTTTGTATTTAACCTATTTCTAAAGTTTATTCTTTTTCATTTTTAAGAATAATAATAATAATAATAATCATAATAATAATAATCATCATCATAATAATAATAATCATAATAATAATAATAATAATTCTTGATGGGATCTGATTTTAATAAGTCCTGATCTGATCTGATTGGATGTGATCTGATCTGATTGGATTTGATCTGATCTAATCTGATTCGATCTGATCTGATCTGATCTGATTCGATCTGATCTGATCTAGTCTGATCTGATCTGATCTGATCTGATTTTAATAAGAATAAGAAAAAATAAGAAAAAATAAGTTGAACGGAACGGAGTCTTAACCACATTGTTAGGTAGTTGTCTGCGCATATTAGCAGTATTGACTAGTTTATTTATTTATTTAGCGGTTTAGGTGTTGGAAAATTTAACATAAACTGGTATTTTAACGGTCGTATTTAACAGAATCGATTAACTATGAGCATATGTTCTCCCAAGTGAGACAAATGTTCCAATAACTAACGGTTTTTCGAATTATTGGAAGGAAATTAATAAAGACTAAGTTAATTAGGAGATTGGATCCACACTTTAACAATTGCTGTACGGTCGATCGGACCTCCTAACGGTCATGTGGTCCTACCATAAATTCATCTCCCGAGCATGTCGGTTCAGAAATCTAATTTTCAGTCGACCGTGTCATTACTCTAGACTCTAGTACCCCTACTCAACTGTGTGAATATGTCTGGTCGACCGTTTCATTTGGTCGGTCGGCCGAGATACGGTAATTATACACTCCATCATGCGGTGCTCCTTTGGTAAACCCACTGTTCCTTATTGTTGATTGAAGTTGTTTCCAAATGGTGGACCGTCTCTCGTGGTGGGTCCCACCGGCACAGACAAAATTCCAAAATTTGTGCAGATTAATAGAGAATTTAAAAGAGGAATATTTTAGTGCAGGTTTGGGCAGGACCATTGAGTGGGAATAAAGTGGCAGTGGTGCTGTGGAACAGAGGAGCAACGGAGGCAACCATCACTGCTTATTGGTCAGATTTGGGCCTCAATGCCACCACCCTCGTCACTGCTCGAGACCTATGGGATGTATGTATTTCTTCGTACTTTATAGTGTAATTTCCATATTATAATGTTTGTTTTTCTTTTTTGTCTGTCCCAAAAAGATATGCTTATTTCCTTATATGGTTGATTATTTATGTGGACTTCCCAAAATTCCCTCTCATGTAATTACTCCTACCCACTCTTTCTTACTCCTGCCCACCTTAAAATTAAAATCAGGGGCAATTTTGGAAAGTCAACCTTATTTTTTTCCTTCCTTAAATATGGCCTAAAGTCAAAATAGGCGTGATGGAAACCGCTTTTTCGGGGCGTCGACCCGATGAAATCGGTACCGGGTCGGCACCGCACCGAATAGCGAAATTCGGAAATTAAGTAAATAAATAAAGCGGAGAGAAAATATTTATACGTGGAAACCAGAATCGGGAGAAAACCACGGGCCTTTTTTGGCGGTGCCATGCCAAAGGGGGAGGAACTTTTATTAATCTCAGGGGAGTTTTCATATATATCATTGTAGGAACTTGGAATCATTAATGGAGCTCCAAGCTAAAAGAAGAAGAAAAATGAAGAATATAGTAGTAGGAACTTGTAGGAATCTAGCCTTGGCCTCCCCCCTTCCGTCCCGCGTAGCCTTGTATTTAAAGGGGAGTACATGCATGCATCCCCAACAATGCCATGAGGTGGTCATGTCACCTCCATGTGCACATGTTTTCTATATGGGCTCCACGGAATATTTTTATATCACCTCAAATATATTCTTCTGTCCATATACCTCTAGTTCTGTCTTGAATAATTTATCTGATTTATATCTTGGGCCAGATGAAATTGGGCTTTCTTGCACTGTTCAAATAATATTGGATTAGGAAAAATCCCTAATCCATCACATGCCCCCCTAGTTTTGAGTCTGTCTCGGGGAACGAGACAGATTCAAAATTATATGACTCGGTGGGTTGCCTCATGGGATAAAACTTTTCTTGGAACCTCGA